ACTAACAGACAAACTACGACCTTCTACACATAAGCAGATCTGGAATATAGAGGTAAGAAGGTTTCACTTCCTTTTAGGTCGGGGTAAGACCAACTCCATTTCCTGGGTGAGCTTTTTTTGTTTTTATTGTTTCAATTTATGCATGCGCCTCAGGAATTCCTATCGTCTAAGCTGTTCCAACTTCCAAAACATTCATAGTTTACAAGTCGAGTTCAAACAACGAAGAAAAAAAACGAAATAGAAAGAAACTCTCCTAGGAACCAAAGCACTAATCATTTTACGCGACATCAAGAGGTGAAAACTTCATAAACCTCATGTACAACCCGACGAATGAAAAAAGAAGCAATAAAAACGTACCTCAAGTGAAGCTCTCGCGCTTTTTGCTCATTTCTATCCTAAATAATAAAGAAAATAGAAAACAAAAGCGATTAGCTGGGCTCGCCTTCCCTTGTGTCAAACCAAGCTTCAGTACCTAAGGAAATTGCAGTCAAAGGAAAAAAGCATAAAATTGAGCCGCTTACCCCCAGAAGCCTTCGGAGCGCAAGTAATAGCGTTGGGGCGCGCGCTGCCATGCACCGACGATCGCCGCTGCTGTCGCGAACTATGAACGCTGCCTTACTAAACGTGCCGCATGCCCCTGCACCATCTCCACCTTTAAAAGAGGTAGCAAATGGATTTTTGTTTTCTTTTTTTGAGTTCTGTCTAATTTGAGAAGCTACACAATATAGCGATTCTCGGTTTATCGTTTGTGGAAAAGCAATTCCTATGTTCAGTATCCTTTTCAGGCTGGATGGTTTGTCGATTACGAGCAATTGAAGTCACAGTGGGAATTTATCCACACGCAAACAAAGGAGTTGGTCAGGCATACTGATGCAATGTCGAAACGGTTATCACGAGTGCCTGAGCAGGGAAGCGGTGAGGAAAGCGACGTAGAAAAGATCATGTCCGTACATGTTCAAAATATGGGGCGACTGTCGAATAAAATCTCAGTATTTTCGCTAAAGACTCGTCTATATGGGCTACTTGTGCATGAGATCACGTATATCAACTTCATTTTTTTCGGCTTGCTAGGCGGTCATGTGAACGCTATGCTGAACAGCCTGAGCCTGGGCTGGCTGGAGGGAGTGAGGGGGGGTTGGCGGTGGAGTGGTAGACGTTCCCTTTGCCAGCTTTTTCTTTCCCAGTCAGCAACACAGACTGCCAGGAAGCACGCAATCAGCCTCAGCCACCCGTCGTGTAACTGGCGTTCCCTGAATCATGAATAGGGCACGCATTTTCTGTTATGGGCGCCTCTTGGAGCGTGATAAGGTTTGTTCCGACACGGTGTTGAGACCAATTTAGTTGGGCACTGTCAGAGCGGGCATAGGGCGTCGCGCATGGACGTAGCACTCTAAGTGTCTAGACTGCGCCGTTTTTAAATCCTCTTCTGTTCTGCGTACGATTTCGGACTCGAGAGCGGGTCAACTTCTCGCCCAAGCCTCAGTTTAGCCGGCGGCGTGCCTGAGTGAAAAAAAAAGTACTATTGGGCGAACATGACCTGCATTATGCACCGTCCTCAGAAGCAAGTTTATGTTGAATTTTTGAAAAGACATGACGCCACACATTTGCATCCTAATTGCTATTGGTGGCCTGAACGACTGCTATTTTCGTGATCAGCCCTAACGACGAAGGCTTTCCATATTGATCCCAGTTTGCGTGCCCAATTAACTCCATCTCCAACACTACGCCCTCATCCGCACAGCTGATTCCCCGATAAGAACTCTACGACCGTACAAGTGACGATTTTCATGCTTTTTCGTCCTGCAGCTTCGTTTTTCACTGAAAGGCAGGCCTTGAGGCGGAGTCTGGAGTCACTGGAAAAAAAGGCGTCACTGAACCTATATTGCGCTTTTTAGCGCCCCTCTCTTACAAGTTTTTGCCTCGAAACTGGTACAAGGGTGTTCGTCGCGGACCACACTACCCTCCCAATGCCATATTTCAACTTCTGTACCTAATCGCGGACCGTGGATTTAACCACCCGTCGTAGACCACACTACCCTCCCAATGCCATGTTTCAACTTCTGTACCTAATCGCGGACCGTGGATTTAACCACCTTTTGACCACCTTGAAACTATTAGCAGCCGCTTCAGTTTGTAGTCAGCTACACACATCTCACATATACAGGTGGCTGCGAGCTCATCGAACACAGAGAATCCTTGAAGCGATCAATTTGCCTATACGGCGACAACTGCGGTAACCTACAGTCATGGTTCCCAGAAATTATGGGGTGTGTGACGCGCCGCAGTTGCAGCGCAACCAGGGCATCCTTTTTCCACCAATGATGACACCCAGAGCCTTCACACGCTCATGGGAAATCCGATCCTGCTGCGATTCAGGCCATGGCCCACACGACCCATCGTTTGCAGGGCCATGGCCTGTATATATAGGTGGGGGGGGGGGTAAAAAAACACTTCGGGCGAGTCACATATCAGTAAAGTTTTCGCAGCCCAGACAGAAGACGTGGATACGAGTACCAGGGCGGAAGATGTTCCTCGATAAGCAGGAGCAGGCTCTCGCCCATCACCTTCATGTACACCAAAATATGAAGTCATCTCCAATCGCAGCCTGACTGGAGAAGACCTTTGGAATTCATGTCACCTCCAAACAGCTGCGAAACTTCTAGTATGGAGTCACCCATGGATAGCTACCTGGAGACCAGTACTCTCGATCTGGAAGACCTCCAACATCGAGCAGCTCCGACAACGTCGCTACGGTCTAGGACATCATCTTCACCGCAGTCGCCAAGGCGCGGGTTGATGGTATGGACCGGAACCTAGAATGGGAGAACCAATATTTTCTTCGTGGGGCCCCGGACTGGAAGTGAACGCTGACGGTTACATCGAGCAACTCGAGAAGAATATCCTCCCTTCATGTCGTCGCCCGTACCTTCTTGGAAACTTTGTACTGCTACAGGATTGGGTGCCACCACATGGAATCGAAGGGCGTTGGAAAAACTTTCGCCTACTTGGAATGGAAGGGTGAGTACCTGAAGAAGACGGGATATATATAAGTGTGTTACCTGACCTAAACGTCGTCGATTACCTGTTCCGAGCGGAGCTCAACAGGGTGTTCTACAGTGTCAGAGAAATTAGCGATCTCGCCGAACTCAGGTACAGAATCAGCGATCTCGCCGAACTCAGGTACAGAATCATGGCAGCGTGACGGAATCTCTCGATGGCACTCATCCAGAAGGCTGTGGCAGATCATGATAGTGTACAACGTGCTATTGTCTATGGTGGTGGAAATGTCTAATCAGAACTTAATAACGTGTAACTTACATCGCCTTGGAAGTAGAAAAAGTAGCGTCTTTTTTGTTCCCCCCCCCTCTGTATATCTGATTAAAGGCTCTGTTCAGAGAACAACGGACTTAATTTTAAAAGAGGATGAGTGGTTGATAGTGAGTAGAGTCGCTCGAATCGACTGAGCATGTCTGGCGCTCAGCGGCCCACGACCTCAACTTTTGTTACTGGTTCTACCTCGAAAAGATAAACAATCATGCCGTGTTTCCAAGTCATCTCAGATTCACATAAATGATTACACCGCTCCAGGCATACTGGCTCTCAGAATATAATGAAGAACCAAGTTTTCCCCACTATACTCTGCGCTATAGTGTCAAATGTGTTTAATGTGAATGTAAGTTGTGGCAAAAAGGGGCGGAGTTGTCTGGAGCGGAGAATGTAATGGGGTCCATTGTGTTGCGGTGAGCGCAAAAAGATTGGCAAAAAGGTTGCTTCGCGGAAGAACCTTAAAGAAATCTACGCGATGGTCAGACTTCTTCGTGAAAGCTCTGAACGAATGGTATGAAGTTCATCGTGTCCCTCGAGCAGAGAGAAGCCATTGGGCAACTCTTGCGTTGCAGGGACTGTTGAGGACAGCCTCATCGAAAAATATCATCATGGTTCCTTCCGCAGAACAAAATAATGACGGATGCTTTGAAACACCATAAAAGACCGAAAAAGAAAAAAAAATAGTTCTTTTTCTCCACCTCCACATTTGACTGCAAACGTTCGAATGCACGACTTTTTCGAGTCAGCAGACCGCAAGAGTCTTCCCAATCAGCTAGCTTCTTGTGACACTTCAGAATCCATGCCATACCGTAATCTAGAGCAGCGCATGTTTACACTCGGAATACTAACCCTCTCTACACATGCAAAAAACTGTTTGTAACTGACCAATAACTCCAACTAAATGCTTCCTCGTAGCTACGCCCAGCTGATCGTTAGGTGCTACGGCTTTACGAATGCAGGCATTGCGGCCACCAGCGCATATATGGACGGAAGTCTAAAATATGGCCAGAAATCTGGGAATAAATACATACAGGCTGTGGGAGAAACTAACCTCATTCGCATGATTTCTTCTCACTTCTGTTAGAGAACTTCTAGTCAATATTTCCGGGTCAAGGACTTGGGCTTTGCGAGCATTCAGACCGATGCTTTGCGCCTCCTTGATGACCATTGCAACTGCACGCTGCCGGGAATTTCGAGCGTAACCTTGCTGCTTCTCCTGCAAGCGATATGAGAATACGGCATGGAGGTCGCCCTACTAAAATCACTGACAACGCTAATGATCAGTGGACAATATGGCCTCAAAAAGGTGGAACACTCAGACCGTGAGGACAAGTAAGGGTCCCATCTAAAAACCTCCTTTGGCAGAAAAAAAAACTATTGCGCACATAGGAGCCTAAAGTCAGCCTCACCTTCTCCTCATCCTCTCCTTGATAGTTGATGAGTACTCGAATCGCTTCATCACAGCATTTCGTTTGATCAGCAAGTTCGACGGCAGACATCACGTCACAGACACTTGCCGCTGTAAAATGAAATTTTTAAAGGCATGTTTTGCGTTTATTCGGTGTTCAGACGCCTTCCTTGTGCATGCTAGCCCTTTGAGCAAGCGTACAGGATACTCGTAAGCATAGAGGTACTCCCGCAGTTCAAAAAAACGTTAAGGGAGCGCGATCTGCTCGCGACTAGGCTATCGCCCCGCCCATTGACTACGGCACGCCCCTTTTTCATTAGTGGAGGCTTCCCGGTGGCGCGGACGTTCGGGTACTGGTTCTCTCTTCCGAATGGTGACATTGGAGAAAAAGCTGTCACCAACAAGCGAAAACTGGTCCGACCACTCCTTTCCATCGCCATGCACGTACAAACAAGATTCAGGATGGGGGCATTTGCAGAAAATTTTCTTGCTTTTTTTCTTCACTACTGCGTTAATTACCACCCCGTAATCGGTATTTTAGCCGCACAGCTCACCATTCTCGGACGCGGAGCTTGCCTCTAAGGAAATCTCCCTTTTGCTGAATTCAAAAAACACGAACCTTGAGTCATGATGACATCAGCAAGTTCAACCGCTCTCCGTCCGCGACCGTGAGCTTCTACCTTTGACAAATCAGGAAGTGCAGCAGCGCTCGTGCCGCCAATCTGGACCAACTTGTCAAAATGTGGCGAAACTTGGACGCCAACTGCTTCCTGAAAAAGATCTTCACCGACGTAATTCTAACAGCCGGAATCCATACATGGAATAGAAGTGAACCAGATCGCAGAGCGTTCAACTAACAATAGCTCACCCGGAATTTCCGTACAATCTTGTAAAGATGAGTGTGAGCTTTCTGCGATGAAACTTTGATGTTCCACAAATTGAGATCGTTGAATTTCACTATTTTCACATAGTCTTTCAGGGCATGTTCAGCAGGCTCTCTGAAAACAATGTTGGATTTGCTTTCGAAAACGGGTTTGGAACACTAAAGGAAAACAACTGAAACTGGTTCATATATGCAGATACCTCGCTTCACGTAGGCTCTGCTCGACAACTGGTGTGTACTGCTCGAAGTGAGCGGCCATCGAGTGCAGTTGGAGTGAAACTGAGTTATAACCCAGTAACTCTGCCCACTCGGCTAGACAATGAACGCTTTTGATACGAATTGAATAGTCCAGCAGACTTGCGTTACTGATCCACTCCGTCGACATAGCAATAAGAGCTGTTTGAGCTTCAGAGGCTGAAAAGATAACAGAAGGTGCATAAACCTGCTATAGGGAGCATCTTTGAGTTCCTCTATTTTCAGAGTCTCGAACGTTTGGCGGCGCACTGCACACTTACTGCCGAGGACGAACCTCGCCATGTACGAGATGAATGAGCCGGCAGCTACAGAAGCGGGCCACTTTCTCCGTTCAAAAGTTCACGGGAACGTAGCCGGCGTTCAGTGATACCCCGGTTCCGTCCCTGTACTGCACCCATGCTATCCTCGATGTGCAGCTTTCCGTCCATACCAAGGACCCACAGCGGAGCACGCAATTGGTGGTAGAGAACAATCAGCAGTGGGGTAGCGCAGATAAGCAGCGGTTCAGCGGTTTTGGCTAGGGCTAAGCGCCTGGCCGGCTGTGCGGAGCGCGAGCGGAGTATGAAGACGGCGTATCGCCATCGGCGATGTCGTCTCCAGCGGTGGCACCCTACTATAGCTGCGGACCCGATTCTCGTCACACACGGCAAGGATCAGTATCCAAGTAGGTGAGTGTACAGTTTGTCTTTGGGACATCGAGCCAGTTAAGCCTGTCACCACTTTGTGCTACGACTGACTACTAGCAAATGCCATAGAAGACTTACTTTCAGCTTTGAACAAAGCATCAAACAGCGGGTAAACCACAAGTTGAGCACGCAGTTGTCCATCATTCTCCACTCGGCGCAATAGCTCTCCCCAAGAGCGTACCTGCATGATTTCCGACTAAGAACTGTTCAGTAAAACAACAAATCGAACAAGACCTCCATTTTCTTCCAGTCAACGAGAAGTTCACGCAGTGGCGCCAATTCATGTCGTAGTGAGTTCATTCTGTCAGCCATCTTTTCCCACTCTTCGCACTGCTCTGAAGCAAACTGGCTGTAAATGTTTTTCAACCCTGTAAGATATGGGAAGACTCCTGCAATCAACTGTGAAATCTATCCCAAAAAACCTATGGAATATTTCTGCGATATAACAGGCCGGAACATCTTCATATGACTGATGGCAGTGTGATTCGAAATCGTACTGATGCTTTCCAGAATCAAAGATCTCTTATTTTACTGTCACGAAACTTTCTTGAAAAAATATTTGGAATGCTGGGATATGTTTGGTTTTTAGTAATAGCAAACGAAGCTTCTATTCGCGCTTCGAAATAGAAGGGTATTCTTGATTTCATCATCAGTTGAAGCTGATCGTGGAAATGATCTTAGTTTCAACTTCAGGCCCTTGCAATGTGCGAGTAACTAGGTATGGAACTGCCGAGTGTTGTACCAGTTTTTTTTTTCGCCCGAAAGTGCTGGTAAAAGCTGGCTGGAGGGCAGTGGTCACCCGGGTGCTCGTCTCCGTAAATCGCCGCGCCTATCCTAAAGACAGCCCGCGCTCAAGGAATTATATATGACATGGTCGTCTTCCTTGTACGCCAAGTAGCACTGCGCCCAAGCATAAACACTGGGCCACTCACGGACTACTACAACGCAGCGAGGAGCCAAAGCTACAGCCTCAAAGTTCTAGTTCTAACGCCCACTTAGTTGAACCACCTACACTTGCTAGGCCTCGACTGCAGGACCGCCTCAGTGTTCTTTGTTGGGGCGGCGGGCATTAATCGGCATTCATGTCCTTTTCGCTGACCACGCTCGTGCCCATAAATAATTCTGCTTTCCTTTATTACATTTTATTCATTAGCAAGCGTCCACATACAGTCAACTTCATCCCAAAACGCGTAAAAATCACGAGCGACCAATTTCGTTGCGTTGCAAAAGCTCGACGCCACTGAAACACACTGTATAAGATGCACGCTACAGACAAAAGTAACTTAATTCGGTACGCCGAGTGCGGTTTATTTCCTTATTCAAGGCGCCTTTTTGCTTCCGTTTTTTGTTGGTTTACGGTAATCTTTTTTTTGCATTGGATGACATCGCATTACTGGAAGATGCGGAAAAATGATTGTGTGAGTCAGGCTTCCAAGAGAGCGCAGACTGTGTGACTGACAGTAGGCGATCTTGGTTTTATGCGTTTCTTTGAAGAACTCTTTCTTGCTTTTTCCTTCTTTGGAGAATTACTTATCAGCTACTGTTTCGTAATTGAAAAGCAACTATCCATGGCACTTTTATCGCGGGAGCTGTCTTTAATGTTGGAGCGCTTGCGTGCGACACCAGTCCTCTATAAAACACGCACTCTAGCGGTAGAGAGCGACCAGGCGAAGCAACAACTAGTGCACGTGGCTACGGTTATGCATGTGGTTTCACAAGTGGGTATGGAGACGGTACCTGGGTATGCAGCTAGCCCCGCCGTCGCTCGTTAACTTTTGACGTGAAGAAATGGCACGCTCTGCAACTGCCAGACCCATTCACCTTCGCATATTTAGAATCCGATCCACGTAGGAAAGCGTACAGGTTTCTTCTTAGACAAAATTAAAAATAAAATAGCAGAAATGAAGACCTCGGGCCATCGTTCCATTATGACTCGCGTCCTCTTCGCAAGGGGCTCAAGAATTTCAGCTGCACGACGAAATTGGGCAAGAGAGGCTGATCTGTAGACATCCAGAACCGCATCGGAGCCAGCCATGATCTTTTCTACTAGATCTCCAATCAAAAGAAAGTCCGAATCTGAAGACAGCACTTGTGAATGCCAACAATAGGAAAAAATAGACCAGCCAAGTAGCCAAGTAGCCCGTATTTATCAGTTTTCTTATGTCACTCATTCAGCACAATTAATTCACTCACCAACAATGGAAGAATGTAGCTCTTGGTCAAAACGCCGCACACCAGTTAGAACATGCCGGAGCCACAGAAGAGCGAGGACGTAGTTAGAATCTGCTGCAGACTGGGCGTCTGTGGACGTTTTGGACCCAGTTTTAGGCCGATTTGTCTCTAGGAGTGACCGCAAAGTGATGTCAGAGAGAATTTCTCGCTCCTGATCCCGCTGAACAAAAACAACCACCTTTCAAAAAATATGTTTGACATGGGGGGTACAAACCTCTGAGAAGAATTCCATCACATCAAGCTCATCCTTTTCTTCTTCTGTTTTGTTTCGGTATACAAAATCCTTCTCTACAGCCTTAGCTACGTTCTTTTCATACCTCAAATAGCGATACTCAGCTGATCTTCTTCTACAAAAGAAAAATGGAAAACTACCATTTCTGCCACTGATGACGTATCCATTCCAGATTGCATATGGGATCATCACCCGAGGCTAGACGGCGTCTTACCACAGCAGCCTTCAGATGCAAAGGCATGGGTGATGCGTCACGACAGCACCACGACAACAGCTCAGTGCTCTCGAGACCTTCTGCTGTTGCTTTCACCTGAAACAGGGAACATGACATTCAGTGATGCTAACAAGGAAAAGAGGACCATACACTGAATCTGATGGGGAATGCGGTGGAGCTCTGGAGATCACGCCTCCTTTCAGCAGTTTCAATCAGGTCGCATGCTTCGTGGAGGCCACAAAGGAATACGTCGAGTCCTTGCACGAACGTCATAGATACATCCACAAAAGAGCCAAACGTCGTAAGAATTCTCTGAAGGAAGAAAATTTTCACAAGAGTAAAAGTTAGGTCTACAGCAGGAGGAACATTACGCCCTATATAAGGAACCTTATTTAGTCACATTTTCGATCTAGCGTTCGGCTATTTAGCACTAAATGAAGGCGGAGGAGGAGATGGTGGCAGCTACGGTGGGCATTTTTGCACTTTCGCTACTTCTCGTCGGCATGTCGACCCACCTAGTGAGCTATTTCATGAGCTTACAGGAGTTGACAGGTTTCACCATGGTTGCTATACGAGCTTGCTCCGGTTCCAAAAAAGTTCACAGGTTTGAGAAGAAGAGACTTGTAATGCGGAACTAATTAAACAGCGAAAGTGTAACATGCCCCCTTGTCGCTGAAATGCGCCGTGTCTGGTAGCATGGCCACGCCATCACGGGGTTGTGATCATTCTGAAAATTACGACCCCCCTAATTCCATACTAAAATACGACCCCCTTTTGGGAGTTGGTACGACCCCCCCCTCCCAGCCCTCTGTCCTTCCTCATCGAACCGAGCCGTCGGTGGGGGGGGTCGTCAGAATTAAACTATCATTTTCAAGTGTCGGAAATAGTAGTGCGTCCCTGAACTGACCAAATACGACCCCCCCCCCCTCCCAAAAATGACCAAGTACGACCCCCCCTTTACAGCGTCCGTGAAACAAGAGAAATCAACTATCAAAAATTTTCTCTGCACCAAAAATACGACACCCCCCCCTTGCTGATGATCATCAACAATGGCGTACCCCTGGTTGTAGTGCAAGTGACACGCAGTTACCACCGGGTGCCGAGGATCGAAGCATTAGGATCGGCCTTGCCTTCCAGGACCAGTCAAGCTTGTCTTACCCTCGGGGGCGGTTAATGTGGTACCAGACTATTGTGGGTAGGATAGGGTATACTCTACTCTGTTGTCGTTGTGCGTCTTCGGGCCCGAAGTCATTGTACATGGCCCTATAGCCGGCTGGACTGCCATACTGAATCGAACAACAGAAGTGCAAGTGCAGGATCTCAGAAACTTTAAGAGTTTTAATACTAAATTGGGCGCGGCGGGGTAGCAGCAGGCGCTGCTTACAATCCGCTACAAGTCTTGCAATTAGCTATCGCTCAGATCAACCCAAGGTTTCCACACCTCGGGATAGTAAGTAGATAAACCAGGCGTTTGGCATGACTGAAAGGGTTTCCAGAGAATTCGGGTCCGGAAAAAGGGGTTAGGAGAGAACGACGCATGAGCGAATGTACTTGCGACTCACACTCATATTCCAGCTTCCATTCTCGATGAAAACAGAGCAGCGTACGCACATTCGAAATGGTTTGGTCAACACTGGAACTTTTAACCTTACTATAGACGTCAGATACTTACCTTTTTGAAACCATGAGCGCTGATTGCAAATGAGTGAAGCTGGGCCAGGATCACAGTTAGCTGTCGCGAATCGAAATCCGAACGGAGTACATCAGCATCAGCGCTAAGTCCACGAAGGACAGGGACGATTGTCGCAACAACACCGTAGAACGCCCGCATTTCGTCGCACATTGACGAATACTTGAAAAATGACTGAGGCTCAATTACAGGTAGGATTGGACAGGGTGATTTCGTACCTGACTAGCTTTCTGGCGAAATACTGCCGGTTTTTCATGTGATTTATCCAGGAATATCTTCAACTCCGAGCGAGTGTTCCAAAGACAAGCAATTACGGGATGTGAAGAATGCGAATCGCACTCGGGTGGCTGCCTAAAAATTTACTAGTGGAAACAATACTTGAATTGTCAAGTCCTTCACAACGATGCTGAGTTAGGAAGATTTGAGCACAAAATAATTTCTATCAAAAGGGAGACCTGGACACAGCATTCCTCCATTTAGCAAGCACATCCAGTGGCCGATCGACTGCTTGAAAGACGTTCTGTTGATATGCAGCCCTTTGCTCCTCGAAAATGACTGGGTCAAGCGTATCTGGAGGAGGTAATGCCTGGAATAGCAGAGCTCAACGACGCACCAGTTAGCGAAAAATATAAACTCAATAGAATACATTTTGCATGATCTCTAATGCAACATCCAGGCGCCTCTTCCATCCATCATCGGACTGATCCCCAAGAACCGAACTCCCTGTCAGCCCGTTGTTAGCAGACCTCAGTTCCTCGCTGAAAATCAGCAGAAGAACAGGATTCAATGAAAAAACACCCAAAGAAGTGCAGAAGCCTGATGTAATAGCTTGAAACGAACGTAATAAGCTGCGATAAGACCGGAGAGTTTGGAGCGAGTTTCCAAAGCTGTTGTACCAAATTCATTAACTCGCAGTGCATTAGATGCGAAACTGAAAGCGAGCTCAGTTGAGGGTCGAAATCGACATCCTCCCAGAATGACAGGAAAATGGTCGAGAATGCATCAGTGAATCTGAGTGATGAGACCTGGAACAGTGAAGTCATGACAGCTACTTTATTGCGCAGCATCCAAACAAAGTAATGATTCTACAACAATAATGACCATCATTACCTTCTTAGCGTCAGAATATTCACTATTTAGTAAAGCGATCCCTTGTGCGAATTTTCTACATAGCTCATTACGCCAAGGAATCGACTTCAATACCAACAGGCTGTCAAACGTTCGGTTTGGCTGAAAACAGCGCTATGAAGAAAACTCAAATCGTTCGTCAATTGGTCGTGTGTCCGTACCTCGTCTACCACTCCTGTGCTGAGGAAAATATATAGCTGTCTCATCAACGAAATTAAGTTGAGAGCCTTCGAGATGGGCGATTCATTAGGAACTGCAGGAATGACTTCCTCAATGTCTTCAGTTGGGGACCTCAACTGTCGAACATCGCCAGCTCCATTTTCTGATGGAACATAGGTGATGACTGAGCACAGTCTAAAACGGAGTCAATTGAGTCTTACATCTCATCCCGAGTTTGACTGTAACCGCAAGTTTAATAAGCGGATAAGTAAGACATCATGAAGCCACGAAACATAAATAGTGCCTCTTCCTAGTAACTGACTTCTGACATCCTTCCTCATCACTGAAAGGTTCAGCTACTCGATGAGCTTCGTAGAATGGCAAGTAGGACTTGATGAAGCGATCGTGAGCATCTACTGACCAACCCTCACTCATCAAATGTATCAATTTTGATAAGACAGAAGAGTCGGAGTGCAACGTATCGCTGCTGTCAACAACAGTTGGCCTAAAAAAATTACCAACGTTCTCGACTATCGAAAGAGAAGAAAATAAATCAGGACCCTCTGTAATTTTGTGTGAGCATTCTTAACTGTTATAGTGGTTTCGTTCAGACGGTGGGTGTTTCACGGGAGAATGAGTTGTCGTGAGCTCGTCTCCACCGAGTGTTGTCACTTGCCCACTTCAACATATGGTAAAGAACGATTTGGTGCCGCCTCAAACGCAGCTCCCCCCCCCCCCTCCCTGACACGCCCCGTGCCTGCAGCAAAAACGACTATAGGTAACCAAGCAGAACAGCCCTAATAAAGATGACTCCGAGAGTTAACCTGCAAACTTAACAACGAATTTCATAAAAGATAGAACTCTCGTCACAGGTCAACCCTTTTCAGATGAACCATGGAATGCCAGAATAGGCTTACTGCATGCGATTTGGCCCCCACAACATCGTGCGATTGCCAGCCGATATATGTCATTGTGTCTCAGTCATTTTCCCCCCTAAACGAAGCTGGTCCGTAAACGAGGGATGATGGACTCGCTTGGCCTGAGCAGGAGCCAATATGGAATCTAACTCTTCCACAGTGTGATTAGCGGCAGCACGTACCATACCTCGCTGCAACCCATGAGTTTCATTTCCTGGAAGTATCACCATCCATATCAACTGGATCGTAATTTAAGCTTCATTCCCCGCCCGTCCCCCTACAACCTCCGTGACTGCATTTGAAAGACTGTAGCATATGTAGTCTTGCTCGGCGTGGACGCACGAGTTTTCGCCTGCCAGCTTCCTCAAAGCGTGGAAATTCGGGGGCTTGGGTTGGCACATTGCCAGTCAGTTTTCCGCTGGCGCTGGTCGTCTGCCAACTTCCACAACTGGTGGAGAACAGGGTGGCGCTGCGCCGAGCCAACTCGCAGGACACGCCCCAGCATCCGCAACCAACAAGACTAATTCCATTCGTGCTAACCTTGGGAGCAATCGGTGTATTTCATTCCACGCTAAATAAAGCGGTGCACATCCGGTTCGTGCATCCAGTGGACGACGAGAAGCAATCACGAAAAGAGCAAGATGCAGGCAGAACATATACACCTGAAAAGGAGCAGTTGGAGAGCAAAAGACAACCTGTTAGCAGAGGAAATTGCACAACAGCCTACAAACCTTATTTTCATCTCCTACTTGCGATGCTTCGTTCAATGTATCTATCACTGCGTCCACCACTTTGGCAATTAGTTGTAGATTCTTGAAACTCACATCTAGCCGTGTCATTTCAACTGAAAGTTACTTTATCAAAAGAGCATCGACAACTTCGAATTATCCAGAAAAAGGACCACTAACACTTGGAGAGTGTGCGACTCAGATGTTCCGCAGATTGTGGATATATCGTGGAAGCTTTCAAAAAGCAAATGAACCACTCACACACCGTTACAACGACGAACCTGATGAAGGAATTTTTAAAAAACCTCAAGCAGAGTGGAACAAGGGAAATTCACCTGCGGACAGTTTCGCTACCCTCAGATCCTGGGATTCCGTGGTGGAAACGAGGGTCAATGGGGTGATGAGAGTGTTCCATGTCCAGCGACATTTTACGTAAACGACTCACCGCAGGTAAAGCTAGAATATGGAGCTTGTAAATTCGAACACCTCATATCTGCTATCACAGATATAAGATCGTCTGCGTATTCAGCCAAGACGGGTGGGACAACATCAGTGAGTAGCGTACTTAGACTAATGACGGTCCCAGCGCCCTCGTCGCTATTCGGGAGCCATGAAGGGGAACAACTTCTCGTATGCTGAAGACCGATAGCTCAAGAAAAGTATTTGGTGATGGAGTAAATAGATGCTTTAGGCAGCGTTCAGACTTCGCGACGGCAGCGCTTCGGTCGCGCGTTCGGCGCGATCGATGCGCATGCTTTTTACTGCATCGAACGCGCGACCGAAGCGCTGCCGTCGCGAAGTCTGAACGCTGCCTTAGACATTCACTAAGGATACCCCTCTTCCACTCTATACCTCTAAGAACCTCCTACTTACGCGCATGGGATTTTAATGTCCCTAACGATCAAGGGGCCAAGTCTCGAATTCCACAGCGATGACAAAAGACTTCACATTCTTGGGATAAGGAGGCAGTGATAGAGAGTGTAATCCAATTTGAAAGGAACATCTCAGGATACCACACCTGATGTATTCCATGTACCTCGCTAACCCATACAAAGAAAACTAGTGCGACCCTTTTCCGATCCTACAACACCCTTTCCACCGCCCTACCATCTCTCCATAAAATCTTTCAACTGCGTGTACTTTTTGGCGAAATTTTCCAGAAATTCTCGGGTTTTCCCTCAGGAGCTACTGCCGAGTCGTAGGGCGGTTAGGAAGTGCGCATCATTAGTTGGGGGTTTAGTCGAGTCCGTACGACGACCCCCCTCCCCATTTTTTTTGCAGGGGCTGGTACGACTCCCCTAGTTCCCTCCTCATCGGGCTGCCGCGCGGGGGATGGGAGTAAATAGCACATGTGAACATGTGAAACGGGAAAAGCAGCGAGGAAGACACAACCCTCTTCCCAACAACGGACAATTACGACCCCCTCCCTCTCTACAACGTCCCTGAAACAAGAAAAATCAACTATCAAAATAAATTTTTCTCAGCCCAAATACGACCCCCCCCCCTTGATGGGGAATCCCCAACAATGTGCCCTGGGGGAGGGACGTGCTGTGCAAATAGTGCACGTGAAAGGGAAAAAGCAAGAAAGGGCAACAGGGTACGAGAACATTCTTAAAGACAAATGGGCAAGGCGAATGCGGACCCTCTCTTCAACGACCGCATATGCTTCAAATATACCTCAGTGTTGAAACCTACTCTTTCCAAAAGCATTATTGTTGAGCTATCTCATATGATAAAAAGGAAGCATTATAGGAAGGAACTAACCAGTATCACCGAAAACCTGTTGGAATAACACTCCGCGAAGGACGCTCGTCGAAGTGGACAGTAAAGAGAGGAATAAGCCAGAGAAAGGGTCAATGTCACTGCATTCCTTCCATGCCCTTAGAAGCCATGATTCGTACCTGCAGAGGAACATATTCAGAGCATTAAATAAAAGAAGGAAGAATGACTTACCCTTCCGTGTCAACTTCTTCCACGAATGGGGCTATTGAACTGTGGCACAATGCAACGTCTGCGGTTTCCGAATATGGAAGGCCTATTATACGGCACGCTTCTTCAATCGACATTTCGCTCAGGAGAGCAGAAAAATGAAGCTGTTTTTCAGCCGGTAAGGAAGACAGCGATTTCGAGAGCTGAAAACCATAACATAAGAATCGTTCGCGAACCCTTTTTCCAAGAACTACCTTCTGTGGGATTATTTTTCCATGTGAAGACAAAACTGCAGTTATGTCTGGAGGACTGGAATTCCACTGCTGGTGTGTAGTCACAAAAATTTCAACACTACGATTTCGCATAGCTCGTGAGATCTCTCCATTGCGAGCATCCATTGAAAGAAAAGCCCTGCAACTTTCCACTTTCCGTAGTCCAAGAATTGAACTGTCAAGCAAGGCGGTTGACATCCCTTCAGGAAGCTGATTCCATTGAGGAAACAATTTGAGGCAGTAAAGTTAGGCTTGGTCAAACTCGCCTGAAATTCTGATGCGGCTTTAAAGGATCGAAAGAAGATTGGCGTTCTGACACCACAAGACGTCCATCACTTTCCAGGCAACTGTTGAGACGATCCAATACGGCAGCGCTAAAAGTTACCGTTTAGAAAAAAAAGTCGTAATGGATTTTTGGACTAGTCACGGCGGAAAGTAGCATATTTATTTAGTAGTTGGGGATGTTCCCCAATATAAAAGCTAAAGCGTTTCCCGGTGATCCACTCCTTTTTTTGGACGCCCCAGGCTTCCGTTTCCATTCATAGTCATAGTGGCATAGTGGATACGGCTTACACAAAAGCTCACTATGTAGGCCGATACTCAAATTAGTGCTTCGGTTCCTCAGAACCATAGAGGAGAAGGCTTGGTGGTCAGGGCGAGAATCAGGATTAGAAGCATACTACCAAGCGCACCACTTGCCTCTACGCTACTCAAATTTCTCAGATGTTATTTTTTTATCGAAGTGTCAAACTGGTATTAGGTTGTCCGGAAAGTTCTTAGCGTTTTGGGTGTTTAACTTTAAACGATCATAACTTTCTTAACACTCATCGGATTTAATCCAAATAAGCACCATTCGAATCAGCACACTTTTGCCAATGTGGCAGCAGTCGAGAAATCCCATCAAAGAAAAACTGGGTGGTCGAGAATCCACGAAATCTGCGAAGGTCTTTTTTGCCTGGTCTTAATTGATGAAGTATTTTTCAGCAAGGAAGTTCTGAAAATGTCTGAAAAGGTGACAGTCGGTTGGTGAAAGGTCTAGAGAATATGGTGGGTGAGGTAGAACTTCAACTCCCAATTCGTTCAATTTATGGATAGTGATTTGTGAAACGTGTGGGCGGGCGTTGTCATGCAAAAGAATCGGACCCTTTCTTTTGATAAGTGTTGGCTGCAGCTGACAATATTTTCGGTACATTTGGTCGGTTTGTTCACAGTAGGGTTCTGCTGTGATGGTTTGGCCTGGTGATGAAAAGTTATAGTGGATTACAACAGCCGATGACCACCAAACCTGACCAGAATTTTTTTTTCGCGAGGGTTCGGCTTTGAAAATTACCTCGGTGGTTCCTCCAAATCCAACCACTGTCCGGAACGTCTCCTGTTATCATACATGATCCATTTTTCATCACAGGTGACAAATCCGTTCAAAAACGGGTCAATTCTTTTGCGCAAAAGCAGTGAAGAAGGAACCTCGAGACGTGCCGATTCCTGCCGGTCACTCCGATTGTGGGGCACCCAATTGTCGAGTTTTTTCACCTTCCCAATGCGTTCCAGACCATCTGCAACAGTGGATTTGCCAAGGCCTAGCTCTTCTGCTATCTCTCGAACTGTTTGGGATGGGTCAACCTTCAAAATCCCCCTAAAATCCTCGTCAGATATTGCTTTAGGTCGACCGCTATGAGGCTCACCTTCAAGGCTGAAATCTCCAGAGCGAAATTTATTGAGCCATTGCCGCACAGGTGCTGCTTTCGGAGCCAGCTGATGGCGGCCCCACACCGGGTAATTGTTGAGGAGCGGGGGGTCCGATGGGATGGCCCCATTTATAGCCGAAGAAAAAAATCGTCCGAAGTGCTCTTTTCACATGCTTGAAAAAATCTTGAAAAAAGAGGGTTTATCAAGAAGGTGGAACGGCAATTATACCATCAGATAGCGCAAGAAATTCTCTACAGGATGTGCTACTGAGAAGCAAGGCAGAATGAGTTTTTAATCAGCAGTGAATGTACAAAGATTAGGTGCACAAAACGCTAAGAACTTTCCGGACAACCTAATAGTACCATCAAAGGAGAAGCAGCAAAATATCTCATACCTGCACAGGTTGACATCTTCTATCAATAACCAGTGGCCGTCCAGATAAGCACGCACAAACGGGCTGTCAATCCACTCAACCGCTTGGTGATCGAGCAGCCGTGACCAATAATTCACCGACCATTCATCCCACATCGGCTGTGAGCTCTCTTTCAGGTCAAGAGCCTCATTCAGCTAAGGTCTCCAACTGTGTCACATCGTCTGCTGCATTCAGTTTATTCAGAACATCAGCATCAACGTGTTTCTCCAGGAGTTCGCTCAGAGCAGCTTTGGCATCGATGAGAGCAGAATCGTCGACTATCTGAAATGGATAAAATAGTAAAAGAGTTGTTACCAGCATTCACAAACAGTTGCCAGACCTGCTCATATGAACCAATGAGTTCCTGTGCATCTGTCTCGGAGGTGAGTACAATAGTATGAAGCTCAAACACCACAGATCGTAGGCGAGATTTCGAAAAGTGAACGTTCTGCCCACAGTTTCTGAAAGAAACCGGTTCGAGATGGTTTTATAGTTGAAGTTCATCCTTTCAACACTGGTAGGGCAGTGCAGAAGCCAACGGCTGTGTTTTATCCCTCGGTCACGCTAGCGCTTGGCCCAATGAATTATCAACGGCATCCACTGCATATCTATACAGACAGCCAGCTGGTGCATCAAGGTACTTTGACTAGCTAGCAGTCGCCGTCCACATTCCACATCAATGCAGCCTTTACGAGGGAGTGAAACCTAAACCACTGAATATGCGCTGAAGATTTTGTACGAACTACAATTACTTGTATATGTGTCAAATGTGAGGCGAAGGCAGGCAAGTAACACGCTTACCACGCACACGGTCCGCGAGTCAAATCCCGGATCGGGACTAGCCTAGGCCAGCCACGCCTTCTACCCTCCACGACAATAATTGGTACCAGATCCCTATGGGAGTATAAAAAAACGACTTGTACATCGGCTACCCCTCCCCCCCACACAAATTAGCAGTAATTATGGGGTCATGGCATTGACTACTATCCACCTAAATTTTGAATGGTGATAGAACGCGGCTGGCATCCAAAGAGAGCTGATAAATGGCGAGAACTTTATGTAAATGGTGAGGACTTTATCTTTACATATGTATGTATTTTGTGTATGCCAAATGCATACTGTCAGTTGAAATCAATGCAAACAAGGAAGCAGAAGATGAAACTTCCGGCGTTGAACAATACCTCCTTGAGGTGCGCCAAGTACCCTACTCCCAGCAGGGATTTTAGTGGCTTTTATTGGGACATGGCCCATACAATAACGTGCCCACCATTGTGCAAATGAATGTTTTGATCCCTGCAAAAATCTGCTACTCATATACACGCCCCGGAGAGGTGTATACAGGGGGGGGGGCAAAAAAAGTCACTTTTCTTCATTGACTTTCGAGGCGCTATAAGTTACACTTTATTAAATTCTGATCGGACATTTTACCACCATATTAAAGAGCATATAAATACTATCATGACACTCCGCCACAGCCTTCTGGACGAGCGCCATCGAGAGATTCTGGCACGCGTGGTGCCTGAGATCAGCGAGATAGTCGATTTCTCCGCCACCGTAGACCACCCTATTGAACTCCGCCCGAACCGGGTAATTGAGGGGATTCAGGTCAGGTGACCTACTTGGATATTCCACCTTCTTTAGGTACTCAGCCCCCTTCCAAGTAGGCGAGAGTTTCTCCAACGCCCTTCGATTCCACGTGGTGGCACCCAATGCTGTAGCAGTACAAAGTTTCCAAGAAGGTACGGGCGACGACATGTGGGGAGGATATTCTTCTCGAGTTGCTCGATGTAACCGCCAGCGCTCACCTTCAGTCCGGGGTCCACGAAGAAAATATTGGTCTTTCCATTCCAGGTACGTCCGGTCCATACCATCAACCCGCGCCTTGGCGACTGCGGTGAAGATGATGTCCTAGACCGTAGCGACGTTGTCGGAGCTGCTCGATGTTGGAGGTCTTCCAGATTGAGAGTACTAGTCTAGAAGTTTCGCAGCTGTTTGGAGGTGACATGAATTCCAAAGGTCTTCTCCAGTCAGGCTGCGACTGGAGATGACCTCATATTTTGGTGTACATGAAGGTGATGGGCGAGGGCCAGCTCCTGCTTATCGAGGAACATCTTGGGTATCTTCCGCCCTGGTACTCGTATCCACATCTT